TTCACATCCTGGGAGCAGCCAGCATTAGAAACCACACCCGGGCCTGGCTCGGCTAAGTGTGGCTGCTGCTAATGTGTTGTTACGGCTGCTGCAGACTTGAGAAGGAGAAGAAAAGACAGGCCTGGGGGGCTGCCCATAATATATAGGTCAGTTTATTGGAGACTTTTCCCCCAGACAGGGGGAGAATTCCTGCCTTGAAACTGGAAGGACTTCAGTGGTGTGCTGCTGTTTGGCCAGCCGGGGCAGAATGTTAGGCATGGTGGACAGCTGCAGGGAGCTACTGTGAGACGGGCAGCTATTGTGCAAAGAAACACTGAGATGATGTGCTGTATGAGTAAAGACTGGCGTGACTGTGGTTTTACCACTATTGAGGTGTGTATAATAAAGGGAAGTGAAAAAAAGATGACTGGACACAGACAACAAAGCTTCCTGGTTCCTGATCAGTTTCTCTTTCCGCTGCATTTCACAGCAGTGTGACCAGAAGTAGTAAAGCAGTGGTTTTAATAGGAAACTGTAAATGTTAAACCTGTCTCCCTCTGTCACGTTTGCAAATCAAAACATCTCAAATTCTCCCCAAAACAGAAACGCCACATTTTACAGTGAGTGAAAATTGAGAAGAGACTGAAGAACTGAGTACTGGTAAACCCCTGGACCACATCTTTGGCCGTCTGAAGACACAGAGGTAGACTTCAGATGGTGAAGAGTCTGTTTTCCTCATCAAATCTCCTATTGAAGAACATGTTCACTCATTCTTGGGGCAGGAACGCTTTTAACACCAGACCTGAGGGCCCCACCAGCCTCCTGATGAGGGCAGCAGAAGCCAGACACAAAAAAAAGAAAATTCTGGATATATTCATTTGAATTGTGGGCCACTTTATTGCACATGAAGAGTGGAAAGTTGATGTATTTTTAGTCATAAACCCAAACATCAGTGCAGACAATTTTCCATTTAACTCAAGCAACAGTTTTCTCATCATTGGCCCTGATGAAAAGGACGCGATGTGACGTTTGCTGTGGTTGGTGTTGTAAGATGAATTTGACTGACTGGAAATATTGCAACACATGTTTTTGCAAATTTGACCAACAGTTGCATCACAATAAAATAATTACCAACACGAGGAATCCGTGTATTTGAACACACCCATGCTGTCATCACCATCTCTATAAGAAAGAAGAAAGAAGTCTTCTTTTGTGGGTTAGCAAACACTTAACACGTACATTTTTTGCACAACTTTTGTTACAAAATTATTACATGCAAACACTATTTATTGTATCCACCACACCTTAGCCTGAGAAACCAAAACGAAATCACCAAAGAAAGTCGTTAAATGCCACTGAAATATGTTACAAATGTACATTGCTGGTTGTTACCAATCCATTAAAATCGATGTTAGATCAGATCAAACATAATGTGTCAGGATTAGACATCGATGCGGGTAGTTTATTTCAAAAAGCAAAAATGACAAAAACTCACTTCTTCACAAGACCAATTAACTAGGAACTTGAAGCATATACTGAGCTGAGCACAGGAACAGACTTGACCAGGAACACACACCGACCAGAAACAATGATCCCACAAGGACAGAGTGAGGAAGAGAGGTATAAAGGGCACCAGGTGCCACCAGTGAGACTAATCACAGACACAGGTGAGTGTGATGACACTGATTACCCCACACAGCAGACAGAGCAGAAACAGGGAACAGACAGACCTTACATAATATCAGATAAAGTTCTTCTGTCACATCATCAGCAATGTTCAGTCGTCCTAATGTGACTTCTTTTGATGTTCAAATCAATGACACACAGCAATAAAAAAAAAATAAATTCCTGACACTATATACTAGGAAACAATGAAAAAAACATATGATAAAATGTCATAGAGACATGAAAGATGAAAATTATTGGAATTATTTCTAGACCATGTTTACATCTGATTGTTTTGCCCAAATGCAACTCGTATCTGATATTTTTATGACTGTGTGAAGAGCAGACATTTCCTCGAATCTGACCTGACCCCATGCATACAGTACGTACTCCGAAATCAGATAAGTACCTGACATTTTTCAACACTTCACCTTCTTCTTTCTCACTTAATCAGCAAAAGTTCAGAATTGGGCAACAAGACTTGTAGTCTAAATGTAACCTCTTTTTTTTTCCTGGAATCTACAGTTTGGTGGGCTCTGCCTCATCATATTAAAAACGCTGAGATAATGAAAGTGGACCGCACTGCAAGATAAGAGGGTAAGAAAGAACCCTGATTGAGAAGAGTATCTATCTGCTCTGCACAGATGTTTCAGTCGGACCTGCTGCCTCTGTTTCTCGTCCAAACGCATCTGAACTCATCTCTGAGCATTCCTCATGCTATTACTGGGCCAGGTACCGTCCTCTGGTCAGAGGAGCAGAGAGATAAAGGCAGAGCGAGTCAGTCAGCATGCAGAGGGCCTGCTTGTTTTCAAGTATCATGCTACGTGCTTGAGCTGATTTGCCTTGATAAAAAGATAAAGGCTCTTTGATAGGCTGCAGGTGCACGGCTGTAATGAGCATGACCACCACCCCCTCCTCCTGCTCTTCCTCCTCTCTTCCCTGAAAAATGCACTACAGATGCACATCTGCACATCTGTCATCTGAAGCGCCGCAGCATCGCCCTGACCTCTCCTTCCCCTGCCTGTCACTCATCTGCAAAAACACACACACATCCCTCAAAGGCTACACATCACACACCACCACATTCCAGAATCCAAAGCAACATCGCTGCATTTGTTACTGAATTAAATCATTGATTCTCCTGGCTCGTTAGAAATCCATCTGGACTTCTCCAGAAAACACCCAAACTCCACCTTCCCGGGGCATTCCACGTAGGGTGAGACAAACCCTCAGAGAAATGGAAAAATAAAGCAGGGATCCAGCCTGCGAGAGGCATCTTGGAGACAGAATGAAGCAGAGTGACAGAGATAGATGTTAGGTGTTTGTTTGTGGGCACTTCTTTCCCCGTATTCAGAGTCCAGGGTGCCAGAGGAATAGCTTGATGACGTGAGTTGTGGCCTGGGCAGGAAACGCAGGGAGGAACTTGTGGCTTTATATTAAGTGCTGGGGCGCTTTACAGGAAAAGATAACCTGTTTCTGTTGATGTAGCGAGGAAGTGTGAATTCTTGGCAGATGCTAGATGTTGCAGAGAGGAACAGGCCGCAGATGCCGTCCGCTTCTGATCAACCGGCTCGCTGGAATTTCCTCGAGTTCGGCTGTGGTTTTGTTGGGGCGACTGTGATGGAGTGTTACAGGAATGCTCTCAGGACATTCCTGCCACTGAATGAAAAGGTGCTTCTTCTACAGGCGGCAGTGCTGCACTGATACAATGACCACTTGATTAAGTCAGCCTGTTGGTTTGTGGTTTGTCTCTAATGACTGGCATTGTCAGACCTGATGTGATGGGTTTGATACAGTTCATATATTTGATTATCACATGAAATATTAATTTAATTTATAAAAAATATTATTTATGAAACGTTGAGCCATAAATGACTTTTTATAGTATTCACATAGAATGTTAAATTATATACATTTTCAATTATACAAATTAATTTAATGTCATTAATCAATTATAATAGTGTGTGAAGTGAACAATTATTGTCAGAAGTTTACTGCAACTTAAATTATATGTTTGTTCACACACACACACACATTTATACTTAATGAACATAAACATATATCATACAAAGTGTTGATCGGTAAAGTCGTGTGTAATTTTAATGACAGCTAACACTCGATATCACTGTTGCACACTGGGTCTTGGGATTGGTTTAAAAAATGCATTGCTGCCTCAGTACGTATGTGTAATCAGTCAACCAAACAGACACCTCGTCAACCAATCAGTCAGTCAGTCACTGAGCCACCTAGACGGGCAGTCAGTCAGTCAGACACCAAGTCAGTCAGTCAATCTGTCTGTTGTTAAGGCAGGGTGGAGGCTCATAGACAGGCCCTTTGTCTGAGCCCTGAAGCTCCAGACACAACAGTGGCCGGCCTCGGCCCCTCACAATGGCCCTCCACACAAAGACCCACACATTGGAACAATGGGTTGAGCACAGAGTGGGGGTGGATAGCCAAGCTGAGGTTACCCACCTGCACACTTCAGAATTACACCAACAGCACTGCCACCAAACGCAGCAACCTCCCATCCATCCAACCTGAAGAGCTGCTGCAGGTGGCTTCCTGTGGAAGTGGCACCAGGAGGAACCCCCAGTGAGTACAGCGAGTTCTGAGAAGTGTCGGCAGATGTGTCGTGACACAGACTGAGACACATGTACTAAGTTTACCGCAGGTCAAAGAGCAGGCTGTCATGGATTAACGCTCTGCTGTTGGTGGGCATCAATCATAGAGCAGAATTTTCTTTTTTTAAACTTCAAAATTAGGAAGTAATTTTGAAGTTTAAAAAAATTAGTAAGTAGTATTATTATTTGTTAATATTATTATTAAATCAATTATTAACAAAAAAATCTGTTCCATAAATAATAGAGAAAAATAAAATAAATAACATAAAATTGACTTTAGCATTATTTAAAATGTGAACAAAAAATTTACTTTTTGCTTGTATTGGGGATATATACACACACACATGCCATAAAAACTGACATTGCAAAATAATAAATTAAAATTCTGCAGCAGTGTTTTAATGTTGCAGCCAAGCTTTGTACACTGACCACAGATCACTTCATTTTTCCATAAAAGCTGTTCTCATATTTACTGAATCTTACTGGCTGAAACGAGTGGTCTGTTTTTCTCATTCTGCTCTTGATTGGTGGAGCAAAATGTCAATCATTTGCACAGTGTTGATTTATACTGGTTGTCCCACTGCAGTCTGCACGAAGATCTGCACTCTTAAAAATGTGTCACAACTGCCTGTTTCCACATGATCTGCTCGATGGATGTAGAAGTGTTTGTTTTCAAATAAAGAAAAGTGAATTAAGAAAAAAAAAACAACTTAAAAAAACAGTCACATGTCAGACTTTTTTCAGTTTTAATTTTCTCTTTTTAATTGATTGCAACAGATTTTATAACCACACATTACAAAATGCACATCAAATATTTTAATCAGGCTCAGTTTGCAACCTTATAAAAAAAACTACCAAAAATATGCTTTTACAAAATTATAATAAAGTAAATGCCACTTTGGGATAACCGTAATCAAAAAACCCATTTTTATTCTACATAATAAAAAAAGAAACTTGACATAAATAAGTTAGTATAATTTCTCAGTGTTTTTACAAAATTATGTACAAAAAGGTACATTGCAAAGATTTACACAAATACACAGGCATTGTGGCTGCATTTCTGAGACAGGCCTTTTCTTCTTTTCTTTCTCTAAATCCTGGTGTTCACTGATCTCTGAAGTGGAACCACACTTTGAGCTAAATAAAGGGAAGCTTTTAGATGCTCAAATTTGCATCATCAGCAGGCTAACAACATCGGTGAGGAGAAAATAAAAATACAAACCTCCTGGGAATATTAAATCTAAGTTATCACATAGTCATACAATGTGAAGTCAACTAAGAAGCAAAGGCAGTGTTGGCAACTACAGCAAAGCAACCATGTATTTGGTATTGTAGGACTTTCAACCTTTCAAAAAACAAAAACAACGTGTTATTCCGAAGGCTGTGAAACTAAGGGAGAACAGATGAATACAAAAAATAAATCTGTGCAGTTTGTATGTTTTTGTCCTTCAATATCCTCGTAACTCACAACTCCAGAGGAAAACATCATTACAATACAGCTGAGGTGCAGGACTAGTTGGAAAAAAAAAGCATGAGTTCAGCAAAGCACTGATCACAAATAAATAGGACACAGGACTTAAATTATTCCAACAGAAATATTAAATTTTAATTTGTTAAATTTTCAGGGTAAACAACAAAAGATCTTAAAGAGAGTCCTGCACTGACACTGAAATGACCAAAGAAAGGAGGGGAAACAAATAAGAGCTACATTTGTACCGTTCTTAGCTGGTGAGCAAGAAGGATGATGGAGTGAAGGGACACTGTCAAGGAACTGAAAAGGATTTTTTTTTTGTTTAGTTTTGAATGTTGCAAAAAAAAAGTGGGAAGAGGCTCTCAATGTCAAACTGCCTTTTCGAAGATAATAATAATAATAATAATAATAAACCCAACAGCATTTTGGAAACAAACTACACTGCAATTCTTCAAGTCAAATCAAAATTCACACCTTTTACACAAAGGATTTTTTTTTCAAATTATAAGGTTCTCTTATGTGCTACATATGGAGAAATATAATATAATATATATTTATTTACACACAGGTAGTAAAAAAAAAAACAAACAAAACGAAAGAGCAAAACAGGAAGTCAAACCTAATTGCACGCTGCTACATTGACTGCTTTTAGAGGCAGTAACTTTTAATCGAGTGCCACAAACTTTAGTGTTTCTATTCAGTGCTTCAACAGCGTCCTCCCCCACCTCCAAGGAGAGTTGATATGTTTCTGATGCTGTGTAGTTCCTCCTCCAAAACAATTGGCCAACACTGAATTTTCCCACATGGAAGGGGAACACACCGTCGGCTCTGTGGGACAAGAAAAAAAAATACAAGCTTAAGAATTATTTTTGAAACTCATCAGACAGCAGCAAAACATGAAAAACACAAACAAAGGAAACAAAAGTGGGGAACATGAGGGTTTTGGTTTGAAACATCATACAACACTTTACAGACATCATTGCTGACCAAAAACAGACACTTGTTAACATTTATAATTTAAATATGAATATTTTTTGCATAATTTTAATTGAAATTAACATGCATTAGATTTTTTGTCACAGCATTAAATGCCAGTAAATGATAGATTTGTGCATTATTGTTTGATAAAGATGACAAATGAACAACTACCTAATAAATCATCTTATAGTCAAAAGTAGAAGTAGATAAATTGGAAACAAACAAAAATTGTATTTTGTTGAGTTTCATTGATCATACCCTTCACAGCACCTGATCATCTGGTACTAGTTATTTAGAAATTACCTTAGGTGACATTTGTGTGGGTGTATTTCAGAGTCAAACTTGACCAAGTAAGAATTAATACAAAATGCATTTATGTGCATTTCACTACAACACCAAATTAATTATTCTTGTAGTATAAATATGAAGTAGGCTTGTGGTTTTGAAACAACAATTACCAGAGAGTAATACTATGTTTAAATACTTAAGGTAGTTATGAAAAAGAAATTGGGTTCACAAACAAAACAAAATGGCCTGTTTCCATACTACAACAATGAAAACTGACTTGTGTTGTTCCTGAATGATTAAACAATGTCACAGTTGTAAATACAACATACATTTAGTTTACAAACAACGATATTTGGGGCTAATACCGTTTCTTCTCTGCTACGTTTTTAACCAGTGAGCTTTTACAGCAGTTGAACACAGGGCTCCTGGTGAGCAGAGCTGTGCACACGGCACACAACCAGTGTATGGTTGTATGTGTGTATGTGTGTATGTGTGTGTGCATGTGTGTGTGCATGTGCATGTGCGTGTGTGTGTGTGCAGCTGTGACGTAATGCAATTTTCACTACGAGTAAAATGTCACATTCTAACATAAAATGTCTTAAAAAATATAAATCACATTATGGCCGTAATGGGTACAATTGCCCCCGATATGGTGACTGGATAGGGCAGAAGTGCCTCTAAGTAATATAATATGGTAAGTAAGCGTACGTACACGCGCGCACACGCACAAACACACAGAGAGTACGGCCCCTTCTGGTCCTGCTCTCTCTCAGCTCTGAGGGCAGTGGCTGCTGACGTGTTACTACTACACTGTTGTTCCGCACTTGTTGTTTACAGTTCTGTCGGAAACTCGCCCTCACCGCGGCACACAGCGGTTGTACCTAAAAAAAATACGTGTAAATTCTCAGCCATGTTTTTTTCCTCCCCCGTCATGTCCAAACTCACAAACTTCGGTTGAATAATCCAAGCTAAAATACACCAAAATGTCCAACTGACCGTGTTTTACACAAGTATTTTACTAAGTACGATTTTGACTGGTGCTGTAATGAATGACTGCGGTTTTTTGGGGTAAAACGCAAAAGCAGTGATGAATGTGTAGTTTTGCCAAATCCGCGTCGCGATGTCAGAAGCTGCAGCCGGGGTGAGTTAAGGATACCAGCAACAATGTTGAAACAATATGAACATGAATAAATAAATAACTGACTTTCAACTGGATTTACAGCTGGGTCTGGTGTGGTAAACAACAGCTGAAAGAGGCGGAGAAAATACTGTAGTACTCTGTTACTATATGCTGACGCTGGCAAACAAACTCACCCTGACTACGCTGCGCTTATAAACTATTTAAAGTACGTCTTAAAAAATAATTATCCACGGGCTTACCGTGTGTCGTCCTCACGTCAGTCTCTTGGGGCTATTGCTTTTCCTGGGTGTGTGTTCTGTAGAATGGCTCAGACTTGGACAACTGAGTTCATCTGAGCTGCTGTTGTGTGACCTCTTATTTTGGGCCGGGGCTTCTGCAAAAGCAAAGAAAAAAAAGTCACCGTCGTGCTGCAAAACTGTTTGTGATCCATATATTTGTGGCTATATTGAATGCTACTTAATTGAGGCGGGTGCAAAAATGCCACCACACGTGTGTGTGTGATGGTTTCTGCAAGCCTCAACCCGTCTACCTGCTGCTGCACTGGGGGTAAAAAAACAGAGAAAAAGTCGGTGTTCTTTTTTGTACCGTGACACGCAGCTCTTTTCCTCACAGGGATGCACTGCTCCATCTGCCCGTCAGACCTGTCGCTATCTTCGCCAGGAGCCACCAGCACACAATTATGATTTCCATTTAGATCCACATTGTTATTCCCAGCGGAGCAGACGCCCTTCTCCCTGCGGAGCGGCCGAGAGTAGAAACCCGGCAGGGCTCTGTAGTCTACTAACTCCCACTCCAGCATGTCGTTCACCAGCGGCGTGTTACTTGCGAAGTCGAAGCCCCACTTGGCTGAGGCAGCCTCCTCCATCTCCCGCATTTGTCCCTTAAAATCCGCGTTTAACTCTTCGGGGTCCCCCCTGCCAAAGAGATTCCTGCAGGCTGACGGCTTCGGGTGATCCGACACGCGGGCGTCCGTCCGCTCCAGCGTCGGACTACCGTTTGAAAGTCGAACATCTGACATTTTCTCGCCCAGACGAAAGAAGAACCCGGTTTCGCAAAAAAGCCGGGAGCGTCCAGTTTTTACGAAGGAAAAAACCCCCAAAAGGCTGAAAAAAAAAACAACGGCAACTATATCTCCCTTTGGCCGAGCGAAGATTTAGATGAACAGAGCTGTGTTCTGCAGGAGCTGCGCTGCAGACGGTAAGGACAACGCTGTCGAAGAGCCGAGCGATGTCCTCGTTGATCATCCAAAACACAAGTGCACAGAAGTCGGAGCTGCTGCTGCTGTCAATGTCCTGCCGTGCTGAGAGAAACTGCAGGCAAAGCTTCTCAGTACCCAATATGGCGATTGAGAGATGTACTTGGGATTGAGAGGGGAGTTTGACTTTGGGGGTGGGGGACGAGGAGGAGACGATTGACACACAGAGCTATTTAAATGTGAACGAAGGGCGCTCATTGGCCAAACAGACATAAACCCGCCCACCTCTCTTAAAGTGGATTTGCAAGTTACATCAAACGGGCATCGTCTTAACTAAGGTAGTTTGGAAGTTTCTTTTTTAATGAACCGTAGAATCTTTATCAATTGAATGAATTGAAACGCATTAAAAAAATTCCCCAAATAAAAAAATAAAGGCTAGTTCTACCTTGGTTGTATGGTTGTTTAATTCCTGGTAGGTGACAAGATACACACAAATGAGAATTAAAAATTGGGTATAGACCCAGGATTTAATTCCTACAATTTAGCTCAAAGCAGATATGGCTGCTTCCAGTATAAACGATAATAAAGACTGTGGTTTTCATTTTAAAAGCAATGTATTTTTCTTAGTGTCTAATTTTACAAGTCTAATGTGCATTAGGCTACTTTCTCTGTGGGAAAGTTGCTTTTGTTGAGATTTTCTCAAAAATATGAATATTAACTGCAACTCAAATTAGGAAGGATTTTGGCATAGTTTTTAAACAAAAGTGAAGTGTTGGCTTCTCCCTTCCAACCTCCACCAGGAGGGAGGGCGTGTGTGTGACTCAACTAGCTTAAAAATAATAATAAAATAAAAGGTATAAATAATTGAAAGGCTATTACAATGTTTTCCCCTCTCACATTTATAGTCTAGATCCCTACTTACACTTCATCAACATCAACATTTTAATTTTGATTTCCCATTTAGAGGAAAACAGAAAACACAAGACGGTTAGGCAACACAAATGAGTGGAGAAAGCATGTGACAAACAGCTAACGGCCTTTGTAGCGGTTTGGAATATGCTTAATATGACATGAAACAAAAAAAAAAAAAAATTCAAGGCGGCGTCTGAAGTGCCGCACCTGTCAATTGTGTTTGGAAGACACACAAGCGTGTGTGTTTACATTGTTACCAAAGCAAACAAGTGGAGAGGTTATATCTGGACACACATCTCTGATGTAAAACTATGGTATGGTCACAGTCAACTAAAAAGGCTCTGCCTCAACCACAGACTGCTTTGATCATTACACTGTTCACTGTCAGCCTACAAAAAAGTGTTTTTTATTTTCTAGAATTTTACAGAAAATTATCTCGGTGTAAGATAAAATTTTATACATAAAAAACAGCACAGCTCAAAATCCCTAAAATGATCTGACACCAAAAATTTTAAAAAACATTTTTTTAGAATTATAAAAAAAAATATATCAACCTTAAAATAAGGGACACTTGAGATCATATACAGTTAGAGTAAAGGTGTAGTGGATGACTCTCTGTTTCACAGGATCGATTCACTAACTTTACACACACACTGTTTCCAAAATGTCAAAACTCTCTAGGGATTGCCAAATGAGCAAAATAATCTAATTCAGTAAGTGTATCTTCATGACAAGGAATTTCCAACAACAATTTGAACCAGAGTGAGGTAAGTCCAGGTCAGAACAGAGCAGATCCTGTCCTCAACTTCACTCGCTCCCAGGGGAAAATGAAAAGAGCAGATGAACAACCGCAAAGCCACAATATTTTCACATTTAAGAGGTTACCAGTGTATAAAAACAGAGAAGAAAAACACGGAGGCATGGAGGAAGTCAGACGCGTTATAACTTACTGTAAAATATTTAATTGTGGTAAAATCGATTTTTTTTTCCTTTTAAGTTTGGGTTCATTTCCAACCATGCTTAATCTTAATTTGTACATTTTTAAATGTGAGTGAACATAGTTAAACTGTTACTGGTTTGTGTTTGTTTCTGTATGCCTTCAAATACACACTCCACTCACCGCTACCAAGAAAAACCAAACATGAATGCCTAAGAGTAATGTTTGACTAATGTTCACAGCAAACTAAAATAAACACTATGTAGTATAATTAGAAACATTCTGTTCACAAGAAATTATGCAATTTCATTTTACTCGGCTTTTATTTACCTACGGGGTCACGGCAGGTTATGGGCCTAAGGATACGTGCAGAACCCTCAAACTGAAACAATGCTGCCCCCTGCTGTTTTTTGAGCAGGTTTTCAGTAAAAAATTAGAAACAGAAAATGGTTATTAATCAAATCGTTTTTAATATGTTAACTTTAGATACGTGTCATAACTGTACATATACACATTGATAGGACAACCACAGGCTGTCATCGATGATGTCATCGACATCAAAACATGGGCCTAAACATCAGTCCACTCCATGACTATTCTCTGATCCCACATACAGTCAGTGTAATTTCCTACCTTCCAGTCCCTGGGACAAGCTCAGGGGACTTTAAAGGTTGAGCCACTTGATGATGTAAAAGTTCTTCTTGCCCACTCTGAGTAAAGTTAGTCCATTGGACAGGATGTGGATTTTGGGGATGAGCACTTGCTCAGGTTGGTCTGCACGACTGTGATTGAGCCACACTGCTCCGTCTAAAACCAGTTGATACCTGCACACAAAGACAGATCAAAGATGTTAAATAAGATTGGATTCCATCGAAGAAGGTTGTTTAAAGAATCAGCTATCTTTTTTAAAAAGATAGAGAAAGACATGCATCAGATATATAACTTATATTTGAGCATTGCAAAAATGTTCACGTAATAAAACGCAGGGCAGCAAGGGGCAGCGTGTGGGAACAGTGCCATGCTCAGAGCACCTCAGTGGCAACTTGGCAGCTGGTGGACTGGAGCCTGAAACCTTCCAGACACAAGTCTGCCTCCTTAACTACCAAGCAACCACCACTGATACCTAGGGTATCAAAAAAATTGAGAAAGACTATTGCTGTTCTTCTCCACGGAAATCTTTAGTTAAAATTGAAAGATTTGTACGATCCGTAGCGAAAAGAAGAGTCGATTTGATGCCTACCCTCTGGGTCCTTCTGGGATTGCATTAACTCTGCGGCAGGTGTCTATCACTGATGTCCCAGGTTCCAGCAGCATCTCATGGAAGGGAGCCTCCCTGAAGAGCTCCTGAAGCTCATCATCACTCATCTCCTCTAAGGCCTTCAGACTGCTGTTGTACAGTGCATTGGTACATCTGCAAAAAACAATACTAAATTCAACTCTTTTTTTCCACCACCTAATTGTGAGTTTAAGTTCACATTTTCTATAAAGTAAAATAATGCTCAGTTAGAGCCTGACTGACCTCTTGGCTGTTTCTAGACCCTCTCTGCCGTGGACCAGTTTGGTCACCTCTGCTGCAAGACGCTTGTGTGCGAGGCGTTTACTGGGATCCTCCCTCTGCTGCTCCATCAGCTTCTCCACCTCCAACAGGGGTATGAAGGTAAACAACTTGAGGTATCTGTGGGGAGGTATTTAGTAGGTTCATCAATTTCACTTTAGATTTAAAATTCCAATGTCAAACAGGTTGCACACAACAATCCCCAAAAACTTGCAAATTGCAAAACTAAAAACCGTTTTAATCAATTTCTTTAGAGTATCAGCTGCACAGCGTAACCACTACCATAAGTACCAGTGAGTACCAATAGGATTTTGTATTTATATTTTACTTAATCTTCACGAACCTTTCAACGCTGCTGTCAGGCAGTCTGAGAAAGTACTGGTACAGTTCAAATGGAGAAGTCTTGTCTCTGTTGAGCCACACTGCATTGCCTGCTGTCTTTCCCAGCTTGTCCCCAACAGAACTGGTAACCAGAGGTAGGGTCAGTCCATAAGTGTCTTCTCTTGTCATTCTGGAGATACAACAGGGTTTGAAGTGTTAAATTTGTAACGTGGGTATAAGATCAGCAGCATAATGCATTGAAGTGTTTTCAAAGTATGCTTGTGTTTTTGTGTAGTTTATCAATGAGTGATTATAAATATTTAAAAAGTTATACATTTTTAATTATTGGAATTGGGACAAGGGTCTCTATTGATAACAGTATCAACAGATAATTCACTCTGAAAGTCAGAGCTAATCACTATGGGAATCAGGTGAATATTTACCTTCCAATTAAACTATTGATTTATAAAGAATTATTGTAGCACTATTCTCTATGTCAACATGCTCTTTCAATACTACAGTGACACCTAATGCTCTTTATGAAAGATGGAGGGACAGTGTGATGAAGCAGTGGGTACAGCAAGGTCAGATGTTAGTATTCCAGCCAGGGTAATGTCCGTCCTGTGTTGTTTAAACTGGGAATCTGTATTCCACATTTTGCCTATTGTCAGATATAACCCACTTGGACCTAACATGTCACCTTAAACGGTTAAAAGTTTGGAGGTGAATGTGAATGAAACGGATCAGGATGGTGATTTACTTGTGAATATACTCGTGACCGGACATGACATTTCCCAGCTGGTCAGTGCCTCCGAGCTGTATCCTGCAGCCGTACACCTGGTTGAGGTGGTAGAAGTCATACGCCTGGAACACCTGGTAGGTGAACTCCGTCAGACTCATACCGTCTGGACTCTTCAGTCTGGACTGGACACTGTGTCTGCTGAGCATGGTGCCCATCCGGAAGTGTCGGCCGGCATCTGACAGGAAAGACACCACGTTCCAGTCTTTGTACCAGCTCAGGTTATTCAGCACAGTCACCGAACCGAGCTTTTTTGAACTATCGTGAAGGAGCAGTTCGTGGTTGGTAAAAATCCTCTGAATGCTCTCACGGATGCTCTGAGTGTTCTTCTCGGCTACATCCGCTGAAAGTCGCTCTCTCTCGAGCGCTTTCCCGCTGGGGTCACCTATTTGAGCCGTGGCGCCTCCGAGCACAGCCAGGACATTATGACCAGCGCTGCGGAAATGCAGCAGGCCGATGATAGCGAGCAGGTTTCCCACGTGAAGGCTATCAGCCGTGGGATCAAAGCCACAGTAAACAGTTTGAGGAC